GATACCTAGACGATCGTTATAGACAGGCGCATGTTTTGGGTCTCAGGGAAAGTATCATTTATTATTTTCAATCGGATAGTATAGAACAAAGGCTATTTTGTACTTCTTTCTCCAAAATAGTTACTAGATCGAATCAAAGTGGTGAATCCAATTTTTTCGTATTACTTACTGTTAACTAGTTAGTTAGTACATGATCGACTGACATCATAGTAAACAAACGAATGCAACCCCACCTAGACTTGAACATCCCCCAAGCAAAGAACTACGTTAACTCCAGACAACCCACATCTCGGCAGTCTTCATGGCCGCTCCTCATATTCCCAATCTAAATACGCTCCGGAGAGGTGCTAATGGGCGAGGCCGTGGGAGGGGTAGAGGTGGCTTACGGAACGTAGGAGATCCGGAGACGAGCATGCGGGCAAACGACAAGGTGGTGCAGGAGACAGACAACGATGCCAGCGTCTCTCGTCGAAGCGCAGTTGAGCTGGGCTATTTGCACGATCCTTATGCAAAACTCTTCACGTCAGATGCAGATGTGCGACGGTATCCGATCATAAATAGAGGTGAGGAGAAGCTATCCCCTTTAACTCGTAACATACTAACCTCACCAGGTACGTATGTTAGAACAACCGCAATCGATACGCTGATCACTCGGTTTCTGGGTACCGGTAAGACGAAAAAACAGATAATTTCTCTGGGAGCGGGATCGGATACTCGAGTTTTTCGGTTACTGTCGCGGCATTCGGATTGTGAGTTGGTCTATCACGAACTGGACTTCCCAGCCAATACATCGACGAAGATCGCCAAAATCCTTTCCTCCCCGTCTCTCCTTCAAGCCCTACGTATCCCAACACGAGATCAAATCTCAGTATCTGAAAATAACGATGCCCTACACTCGAAACATTTCCATATCCACCCTGTAGATCTGCGAAGCTTATCGGCTGGTGGGCCATTGCAAGCCGTTGATACAACGTTACCAACTTTGCTGATATCAGAATGTTGCCTCATTTATCTTTCTCCTGTTGAAGCGATAAATGTCATTTCCTATTTTACGAATACCCTCTTTCCGCCGTCGACAGGGGATCACGACGAGAACGACGGTAATGATAAACAGACTAAAACAGAGATGACAACCCCTCTTGCACTGATTATCTATGAGCCATTCCGACCTGATGACCCGTTTGGGAGAACGATGGTGGCCAATCTTGCCGCCCGTGGCATCAAATTACAAACACTCCACCGATATGGAACCCCAGACGCACAGAGGAATAGACTACGGGAGCATGGATTTCTGGGTGGTCAGCGCGTCGCCGACGTCGATTTTATATGGGAGAACTGGGTTAGCCAAGATGAAAAGGATCGAGTCGCTGGCTTGGAGATGTTGGATGAAATTGAAGAATGGGCATTACTGGCAAAACATTATTGTGTTGCTTGGGGCTGGAGAGAGCAAGCAACATCAACAGGGTCGGAACCAGAGCCAGAACAAGGCCCGAATTTAACACAGGGACTGTTTCAAGCCTGGAGGGATCTCCCATCGCAGTCAGCTTGATTTCAATACAAACCGGTTGTCAATATTGTGGTGGCCCAGCGATTCCAACATTGTGGGTTATATATCCATCCAAACCAACAATTAATTCCTAAGGCAACATTTCGGATGAAACGTTGGCAAGGAGCTATTTTGGAGGCACAGCCGAGTCACATATGTGACCAGGTATATAAATAAATACTCTTGCGGGCAAAGCCCATCCCTACCTACGCCACCGCACACCCAATAAGAACACGCAGAGGAATCACAATTCTCAAGCGAATCAGTGCGTAGAAAACAAACAAACAAACAAACAATTTGTCAGTTCAATTGTCAACAGCATTTCATCATCATCATCAAAAGTTCTCTCACTTTCATTGAAGAAACCGCTTGATTCACGTGACCACTGTCCCGTTCGTGATGGGGCGCCCAGACAAGGCCAAAGGCACTATTCGCCAAAGCGATGTTAAGTCTCCATAACAACCCGAGGGAACTGTGACCAGGGTGCTGTGTGATTGGAGAAAAGTGGATGATCTTAATTTCCTTTCCCTGGTGCTAAGTTTGCTTGGGGAAGAAGCCCTCAAATCGAAAGAGACGTGTCTGCTGTTTGTTCGAGGGGATGATCCGGGGACTCATAGTCGAAGTACGGTGTGATCAGGTCTATTGATGGTTCACCACGTTTGATTTTGAGGTTCTCATCTCTGGTTGGCGAAAGAATGAAGGGATAAGTTTCCAAACCCAATGACTCGCCTTGCATCGGGATGGGTCTTGAGGAAGGATGCAAGGGCGGGCCCGGTTCTTGGGCAAAATTCCTCCTTCCCCCTTGTCTAGCCCATGGATCTGCTTGTCAGTCCATCCAGGAACAGAACCAGCATTTGTGTGCCTTGGCGGCCGAGTAATATCTAAAGGGGTCCACTTCAGGTTAGGAGGCTGCTCGTTGCCAGTCTGATTAACCGCTCGATGGGCTGTTGTTCCTGAATTTTCCTCAGCCTCTCCTTCAGTCCCCTATATCGAGGAAGTTTTATCAATCCTCTGCCACTCATTACTGTTATCTCGTGTTTTGCATACCACTCTTTTATATACATACACTCGTTACTTATTTCTTTTTAATATCATTCTGAGGAAATGATATAATTCTACCTATCGGCGATTTAAGTCCCGCCAAAATTCCACTCATTTTTCGTTTCGCCGCAATCGCGAAATCAACCTACCAATTTGTTTTTCCCCTCCGAAAAGTTCTGCGTACGACTGCATATATCCTACCCCGTACATAGCAACAAAACGAGCTCGAGGAGAAGCGTTCATAGAGCGCGACTTGTGTCGAGATGCGGAAACACGCGACTTGGACCTCTGCTGTCCTATTATTACTATCGACAGCCTCGGAAGCAGGGAAACACGGCGGCCTTCATCTAGGTTATCACGCCAACCACAAACTCAATCATCACCATGGGCATCGATCAGCCGCCGAACTTGGTACCCGAAGTGCTTCGTTAGCAGCGCCATTGCAGAAGAGAGGCGGCGAATGCGAATTCCCGTCAGATGCTGGGCTGGTCGCTGTCACCCCTGGTGAACAGAATGGAGGATGGGCAATGAGTCCAGATCAGCCATGTAAGCCCGGCAGTTATTGCCCGTATGCATGCCCTCCCGGACAAGTTATGGCACAATGGGATCCAGAAGCCACAACATACAGCTATCCTGCCTCGATGGTAAGTTTACTCGATTGGCGATCAAAAAGATAATATATATACTCCACGGGCCAAGGGATTTATCTAATATCTTCTGTTACTAGAATGGTGGTCTTTATTGCGATAAAAGCGGGAAGATCTCCAAGCCGTTCCCTAGCAAGCCATACTGCCTCGATGCATCCGGATCTGTGAATGTTAAGAACACATGTGGTGAAGTTGTGTCTTTCTGCCAAACCGTTCTCCCCGGAAACGAGGCTATGTTGATTCCCACCAGCGTTCAGTCTAGCGCCAAGCTGGCCGTGCCTGGCACTGATTATTGGGCTTCTACTGCTGCTCAGTATGTATCGTTCATATCTAGGAGAAGCTCTTCAGTCTTGTTCATCTATATGCTAACACACCCATTTTCAGCTACTATATCAACCCGCCAGGAAAGGACACCGGCACTGCTTGCGTTTGGGGAACCAAGGAAAACCCTTGGGGTAACTGGTCACCTTATGTTGCTGGTGCCAACCAAGACGGCAGCGGCCAGACATTCCTCAAGATCGGCTGGAACCCAATTTACCTCGAGCCTGCTACACCATTCCGCGACGAAAAACCTTCATTTGGCGTGAAAATCGAGTGTGACGGATGCAATGGACTTCCATGCGAGATTGACCCAGCGCAGAACTCTGTCAACGAAGTTACAGGTAGCGGAACAAGTGGTGCTGGCGGTGCTTCTTTTTGCGTGGTCACTGTTCCAAAAGGCACCACAGCGAACATCGTGGTGTTTAGCTCTGGCAAGGGAGGTAATGATAGCTACGAAGAAAAAGAGGAGGAGAAGGAAGAAGAACCGGAACCAGAGCCCGAGCCTGAACCAGAACCAGAAACCACAACGTCGGACGAAGCAGAGCCAACTTCTACATCAACCACTGAGCGCACGACAAGTACGACCCCAAAACCCTCCTCCTCGTCTGTTTATACCCCAAGCTCAACCCTTGCTAAAACCACTTCTTCAGAGGATAGCACTAGCACTACGACCAGCGCGACGGGTTACGAGGTGTCGCCGCATGTCTTCATCGAATCCCCAGGCAGCTCAGGCGGCATGCCATCAAACACGAGCACTGGCGGAGCTGACCCAACCTCGACCAGCCCACCTATCGACAACGCACCACCTAGTTCATCTCCCACTCCCGGTGCCGCATCCACCACTGCGCTATCGATACTCAGCCTCGGTATGAGTTTTCTAATTGTCTCAACTTTTTTGAGCTTCTAGTGCCCTAAATACTTTGCACGACGCATTACAGCATTGAAACATATATCAATCACCTGGAAAGCCATTTTGACTCTTTTTTTTTACCCCTTTCTCTTGCTCTTCCAGGGTTTCTGCTTTTATATTTACGATTTATCTTTTTTTCATCTTTGGTCCCTGAATTGGGCCGTATTCGACCTTCTCCTCGCTTTGTTTTAAAGCTTTATCTATATTTATTTTTATTGACTTGTTTTTTTCATTTATCACGACGAGATTTTATGTTGGAGGCTGGGATACTTATGATGTTATTATTTTTTATTTCAACCTTCATATGGGCTCGTTTTATTCACTCGATTTTCCCTTCTGATACCCCCATTTTACCATCTATCCTCCTGTATATAATATAGATTATATTTCTTGCAATAAATGCGTCGAGCATTAATTATAAGATCCTCTCTGGTCCTTTCCTCTTGATCTAGTAGAATTAATTAATCGGTATTTGAATTTGGTTGAGGTAATGGCGGGTACTTCAGGCCAGGCGGGGTCGTTCCCTGTATCAATTGGTTGCGTGGCCTAATGGTAAGGCGCTTGATTTCGGTTGGAAGATCAACTTCTTCCCAGCTAATCTCAAGAGATTGCGTGTTCGAATCGCGCCGCAATCGGATCTTCTTTTTTTTCCTCTCTTTCTTTTTCCTTATTTTCTTTTCAATTAATCTATATATATAAATATCATATGATTGAAATATAAATTTTAAAGTCACTTACTTCATGTGGAGGGGAGATGGTGTAATTATAGTAACGGTTATAGTTGTTAGTGACCAGGTTGGGCTTCAACTTCTCAGCCTCCCGCAACTGTCTCCAAACGTTCTCCAGACAAACCACCAACCAAGAGATAGCCAAACAACAGCGTGTCAACACAGTTACATTACGTGCTGGTGTTGGCACAGATCCTCACATCCTCACACAATGCCTTACAAAGCTCTTCCCCCTGCTGAGGTGGACTGCAAGTGGTGGAAGAAGGGTTACTGTTTCCGGGGAACTAAGTGCTACTTCCGCCATGATGAAGCATTAGCTGGGGTGGATGCTATCGTTAATTTCAAACCTGAGCCTAATTGTAACAAAATCTCATTCCTTCTTGTTTTCTTTCCGTTCTTCTTTTTTTTGTCTTTCTTGGTGAATTAGATATGGAGGGACACTAGGTTCCAGAGTTATTTATATGTTTGCTGACCTTCAAATCTTCAATAGCCGATTCAAATGGACAGTCAACTGATTCTCCAAACAATGCTGTCTCAGAAGAGGACAAAGAAAAATGTGCAATATGTCTGGAAGTCCCAGAAACATATGGGCTATTGATTAAGTGTGATCATGTATTCTGCCTAGGTACATGAGAGCTTTGAACATACTTGACTCCTTTTTGTTTCTCGTATTCGATGATATCTTTTCTAATATTCTTTTTTGCGCTTTTGCTCCTCCAGCATGCATTAGGAATTGGAGGGCTACTAAAAATCCGGACGAGGATGACGATGACATCACCTCTGGCGGCGACAGTTCTCTGTCAACAAAGACGTGCCCTTTATGCCGTAAACGGAGCGAATTTGTCGTACCTAGTTCGGTATTACCCACCCCGCCAGCTCGAGTAGCGGCATCAAATGATCCAACTGAGTCAAAGTCTCAAACTCCGATTGAAACCGCTACTTCTACTACGGTTACCACCGTTGCTCCCGTTGCTAGTATTCACAACCCCATGAAAGAACAGATTATCGATGAATACCTAGCTCATCTCAGGCGAATCCCCTGTCGATATTTCGAAGAAGGTGTTAAAAGATGGCGGGGTGTACGTGTTCGGAATCCCTGGGCTCAATTCCGGCCCATCTGTTATTTCGGGAATGATTGCCACTACGCCCATATTCACCCAACCACAAAGGAACAGTATATATTCAGCGATGCCGAACTTCTTTCACTTCAATTGATGCGTGATCGACGGAGGGGAGTAAGAGGCGATTATGAGTATGATTCATTATCTGAAACTGATCACGAAACAGATAGATTGCTGGCATTTCGAATGTTTACCAATGCTCTGCTTCTGCACGTACCCGATCTCGATCGTAACGGCGACGCTGAAATTACTAGAAGCTTAGCTGATTTTGCCAACATGTTTGATCTGCCAGTCGGCGATGTTTGGAGGCTGGAACCGCAGGTATTTAGCAGCCTCTTTGCGCATTCCCCGTTCTGCGGGTGCGAATCTAATGACGGCGATGACGATGACAATGATGATGACGAATGGGAGGACGCAGATGATGATGATTATGATGAGGATGAAGATGAGGATGAGGATATAGAGGTCGACGATGACGACGACGATGATGATTTCGGGGTTGCGGGAGTATTCTAGTCAAAGGATTTATCTTAAACTGCCTAGGATGGACATGTCCGTCATGACCTTCTTACGAGTATTAGTTCATTTCTAATTTTTCCCAATTCTTTAGTTGTTGGTCTTGTTTGCCCTGAATGCTTCTATCTCAGCCTACCTTAACTACCTAAATAACCACATATTCCGGGCCTTACTTAACCGGGTTTCTTACGATAATATAATAAATTCTAAAGTTGTTGTTCTCTTCTTCTATTTCTGCATGTTGAGAGACCATTTATGGATCTAGATTGAATAAATTATTATTATTAGTTACATATCGGCCTTCTTTTTTTGTTAAGGTTAAGGATGCGCTGATGTCACCCTCACTCCGCAACACCTCGGCGGTGTCCTTGTCTTGGTGTTTACAGCCAACCGACTTGGTAATTATTTGAAATATCCCCATGAGATACGAGTCGGAGGCTGGCCCTGGCATGAATCTCGATATCGATACCAGCTTGCGATGCCGCTGCCAAAGCAAACCGTATGTCATTTTTCTTTACTCTTCACGAATAGTTATATCCATCTCTCCATATCGTACCCCGCCTTCAACCTTTCCCTCCGCGCAGCAACTGTGCTGATAAAACACCAATAAATCTATCTACATATATAAAAGAACTCTCGGCTAACATGCACTCACAATAGCAAGATTTAATCGTTTCCCTTCAAGCCCTTGTCTACCGAGTTCGCCAGCTCAAGAAAGAACGCGAGGGCTACTCAAAGGTCAAACACCGAGAAATCGCGAAGTTACTCAAAGAAGGCCGCGAGGATTTCGCACGTATCAAGACCGAGGAAGTGATTGCAAACGATAATTTGATTGCCGCGTTGGAAATTTTAGAATTACATTCAGAACAGTTACATGTACGGGCGAATATATTAGATCACATCGCTTCCGAGCAGAAGAAACGAAAACGCCCAACATCCACTGTAAGGGCCAATAATAATCTGTCCAAGGCCCACGGAAATACAGGACCAAGCGCTGCGCGCACTTCTGCTACCGAAAGAAAGAGTGGAAGTGGTTGGGGGTTTTGGAATATATTTGGCTCCTCGAGCACTCCTACAGCAACCACAACAATCACAGCTCCTACGTTGCCTGCGGATGGATTAGGCGATCCATCAGCAACGGGAAACTTTCCAGGTGAACTCAAGGATAACAACAACGAAGATGAACCCGAACAACAGTTCGAAATCTATCTAGACCCAGACCTTGACCGTTCCGCTGGCGTGATAATCTACTGCAGCGCTCGTATTCCTCGCAATGTGCCCGGATTACTCGAAGTTAGGAATAAACTAGCTCACAGATGGGGGAATGACTTCGCTAACAGGGCAACGAGTGACGTGGACCTGCCCGTCAAACTACCAGAACAACTACTCGACCGACTACGTGTCCGTCAAGCTCCTGAATCTTTGATTGAAGCCTATCTAAAGGAAATAGCAAGAAGTCATCGGATTCGGTTTCACGGCGCTATAGAGGACGACGAAGATGAGGAGGCGGCCACCGCAGTGGTGGCGGAAGCCGGCGCGATAGTAGCCGGTGAGGAGGTAGCCAAAGGTGCAATTAGAGCAGAGAGCAGGGATGCCTGGAATCCTCGTGTTTCGCAAGATGATGAAGAGTCGCACAAGAATCCTTCTAGTGCCGGGAAATCTGGAGGGATACCTGAAATGGACGAATTGGCGCGACGATTTGCGGCCCTGAAGAAGTAAACCTCCTCGTGCCCTACCCTCAATTCATCTTGGTTGATTTTTGCCAGTATATTTGAGCAATGCTATTATCTTGTAACGATTGGTCTCTCTCTCCCTTCCGTGATATAATTTATATATTACTTAGTTCAAACGTCGTACAACCATCCCCATTTCAGCCTAGGTCAAATTCAATTGCCTTGAAAGACATGTCACTCTATTATCTCAATTAATTTGCTCTTCAGCTGGCCATGGAATAAAAATATTATTGATTGGGGTTCGTTGCATGTTTGAATGCGTCAATTAATTCCAAGAAGGGACTCGAATGCCGAATCCATTCGTAGCTAAAATATGTACAGGATATAATTAAGGAGGCTATGTACGTATGTATAAATGGGGGCCAGCAATATATTTCGGCCAGTCAATATGTGCATGTTGTCGACGTTGCGGTAAAACAAAGTCTGCCTGCATGTTCTCTCTTTTGCTTGTGTAACAGTTTCTCGGAAACTTCTCGTGGTAATTTTTTTTTTTTTGTTTTTTTCGTTCCTTTCGTTTCTTTTTCTTCTTTTCGGACTCTCGCGCCGAGGGTGGCCAGTTTTTTGGGCGTCCCAATTCATCAATATTTTATACCCTCTTGTCCATTGAAGATATGTATATTCAATCCATCCTATTTATACCAACTTTGCCGGCTCTCTGCTGGCGCTAAATAGGGAAATGAAGCATTCGTATGAGTAAAAATATGGATCTGATGGTCCACCAGTTCGGAACTGCTTCGTTCATCAAAGTAAGCATGGCCTTGGGATACTATGCGAGAGGGAGGAGATAGAGTAGCCTGAAGCACTGATTCGTCAGATCGTTGTCGATACCGTGGTAGGGAAGCAGTTCGATGGGAGAAATTCGCATATAATCGTTGTAGCTCTTTCCACAATGCGTAGTAAAATGCTGCATTCGCGACAACATTTGAGCATACAATTTCAATCGATGCCCACTACTCAATTTTAATGTTAGCGTGTTTTTTCTCTCTCTCTCTCTCTGTGTGATAGTGCAATTTGGGGAAACATACCAGAGTACGAGACTCTTGGGCAATAGAGTGACTGAAGATTAACGGGATACGAGTGATGGTAATCGCTACCACGAGGATTCCGACGAGGAAAAGAAGGGTTAGTTGCAATTTGCTATTTTGGAACAGTTAGCCACATGATATATGATTTCTATCAAGAGTGATTGGTATCCTACGCTTGAACTCCTAGAGAAGTCATCCGCCACAGCAATGGGATGGGAAATAAAATGAGAGCAACATCTGTCGCTATATTCAGGGCCGCCATGGTAAGAAGATTTACTTCGCCCTTGCGGCACGGATCTAAAATAATCGCGGATAATTGATTAGCTTTCGTCTCATGTCGCCGAGAGGGAGGTTATGTCTGGGAATGAAGAATGGTGTGTTACTCACGGTGAGCAGCATCTGGGCGCCAATAGCTACGCATAAGAGAAATTAGCAATTGCGCTGTAAACTTATTAGATATAGCTCAAGGGGAGAAGAGATAGTAAAAAAGACCACTCACAGTGATAGCGGCC